ATGAAGGAACAGTCCTGGTTACTATAAGGGAGACATTCAGAGGTCAAGGATATAGAGAAGGCCTCGGAAAAACTCTTCAAGCTGCCAAGACACATAAGAGGAGCTGACCCCACCAGATCCTAGTCAATCTTTATTCTAAATCACTCCTCCAGGTCCTGTGTATAAACTGATACATTGTTTTGCATATTGATGTTTGCTTTGTGATTTCAGATGATTTCATATCCCATTCTGCAAGGATAAGATCCTTATTTTACATACTCTAAAATTCCACAGGAACTCAACCAGACTGGTATGCAGGAATTATTCTGTGATAATTATGACACTGTGCAAAAACGTTACAAAATTGCTGACAAGAAATGAACACAATTTAAGAAATAAAATATAATAAAGCTCGAGCCAAGAGTTATTATCAGGTAATGCTCATTTTATCTAAGGCATTCCCCTGATTTTCCTTAAATGGAAACATTCAATTACATTTGAGGATTCAACCTGTTGAGATCCCCTTGGAAGGTATCCTGTGATCAGCTCCAGGAAAGGAATCCTCAATAATCTAACCCCAAATGTGGTAATTCCATTTCTCTTAACCTGTTGCGGGTTAAATCATCAGCTTGTGATTCCATTCTGGCCAATGGGACATGAGGAGAAGGCTTCAAGGTGATTTTTGGGGTTTTTTTTTTTACTATAATAAAAAGATATAAGCGATCAAACATTCACCTTCTTTATGGTACACTGTTGAGTGACCCTGTGGTGAGGCACCTTGCGAGTTGGAGGAGTCAAACCCAAGGGTCTAGCCAACATTCTGAAGCTGGCAGTGGGAAAGGCACAAAGGGCCATGCTCTTCAACAACACTACTGAACCACTGAACTTAACCTGAGAACTGCCCTGCCTCTGAAGTTCTTCTTACGTGAAAAAATGACTAGTCCTCGTTTTTAAAGTCACTTCCAGTTGAGTTTTCTGTTACTTTCCAAATTGTAGTCCAACTTACACAAACAACTCTCTAATCATGTTTGCTTTGCTTTTACACAAAATCAAATTTTGAATAATTTTATAATGGGTTAAAATAGAAACTAATATGATATTTTCTAAGAATTCTATCTTACTTCAAAAATATTTCACCAGAAATGCCAGCATAAGCATAAAAGGACACGGAACTTTTTTTTTTAATTTTCTTTTTTGAAACACAAAGCATCTTTGGTGAGCTTAGATTCCTATGACAGAAATCTCCATGTGGCTAATAATTCTATTCATAAGCAGAAAGTGTGGCTACTTTGACAGATCATGGCTCAATAACAAACATGCAGGTCTAAGTTATCACACAGTTTGGATGTGAATGCAACAGCAGGATAATGACAGTTGCCAAGGATTTGTACTTGCTGTCGCTTCATACCAGTGTTGCCTGTCAAAATGTCTCTTTTTCTTATACAGAAGCCATAGAATTTTTATGGATAGCAATTACTTACAATATACAATGAAGTACATCAAATCTAACAACCAGTCTTTAGCCCATCATTATTTGGTACTCTCTTTGTTAAATGTAGTCAACCATTTTCATCTAAATTATTTATTTATACTGTATATTTGACAAGCATATATTTCTCGTTTTATATTCTTATGGCATTTAAACCTTCCTGAAGAGTTATTTTTTTATATTGTCATTTGTAAAACTTATCTTTATCCTATTACCATTTTAATAGTAATTAAACTCTCTAATTGGAATAAATACAAATAAGAAAATGTAAACATAAAGAAAAATGACCCTAAGTACATTCGATAGTAAATCACCACCTTCAAATGCTGGCATACAACCAATAAGAGAAATAACCCCATGTATGTTTGATGAATGTAAACTTGTGTAATATCTCTGGAGTACACAAAGCACAAAGATTTCATTAAACTTCATCCTACCCTTTCTCCAACTTGGTGAAATGAATAACCTCTAAAGATGTAAATAACTTTCTACAATTGTTAGACAAAATATGTTTCAAACATCATGGAAAGTCAATAATAAAAGTGAACAATTCACTCATATTTTATTTACAACATGAAAAGGAGCTATCATTCCAGTTTGGCCTGATAATGTTGGTAAAGGTATCCCAATTGATGTATCAGTACATAAATCATCATGCCTACAGGAAAAAATAATACTATAGCTTGTGCAAAAGTACAAAGGTATAAGAATAAGACGTATTTGAAATTAAAACTATGGCAGTTTACAGATGTTATCTATAGCTTTTCCAGAGGAAACTAAAAGTTTCAAAAAGAAACAATCTTTTGACATTTTTAAAGGAAATAATGTATGAATGTTCAGATCTGTAGAGATTTTTTTAAGCTTAAAGGAAAATTATGAAAACAATTTGAACTAAGGAAAGTGCAATTTGTTGGTAAGGGAGGTCGACAACAGTGGAGCTGTGGCCGCGCTTCATTCACTGCGGCCGCCTCCCGCTCGCGCCCTGCGGCGACCCACTCCGCGGTGCGCACTGAGCGCTCACTTCGCGATGTTCAAATTAGGCGGTACGACCAAGTGTTTCCATTTCGAGGAAGACTCTAAGACTCATTCCAATTAAAAATATCCAAGATAACTAAAATGACATAAAAAAGTGAGTGAAGAGATTAGGCACAGTTCGTCTCCTTGAGAGCCAGATTAAAAGGATTTGGAGGGGAAAGTGGTGACAGGAAAATTGAGACAAATGTATTTGAACAATAAAAAAATAAAAATAAATAAATAAAAAGAATGCAATGGATAAAAATCATGAAATGACATCCTTAGATGATCATCCACTTAAAATCATTAGAACAAAAATATTTTCTATGGGAGACAGAAAGAGGTATTTGTACAATATTCTCTTAATTTTAAAACGCAATTTTATTTGAGTCTTTCACTCAGCACTCAGAGACACCTTCGATAATTATGACAGAACTGCCCTGAGATACCTGTGACCAATACACGATCCATTTTTCCATCTGCGTCACCTGGGATGCCTTAGACTACAGCTGGGTACAGAAAGTTTCCTCTTGTGTTGCTTTCCTGGAAGTTGCCACAGGAATGAGGCTACACTTATCCAGTCACCTGACCTCTTGGTGGTAAGTCATGAAAATGGGAAGATACAGACCTTTGGCACAGTAAGCTGAACTCATTTATACTGTTGGTGATTTGTTTTCTTGGGGGAAGGACCCAGGCACAGCAGTTTTCACTCTATACAAATAAATGTAGCAGAGAGTGATAGAGGGAAAGCGTTGGAACAATACAAGAAAAAGGGAAGAGTGGATCATGTAAGTATAATAAAGAGTATATTAACAGCATCGGATAACATGAGAATAAAGTGACTGATCGCTGTATGGTTGCAATAAATGGATTTAGTATATGTGAGCATATTATAGAAAATATGTACATATGATGTGTTCATTAGTGAAGAAAAGCAAAATCTCTGTGATATAAGTAAAGGAGCAACAGATTGACTATATATTAATAATTGTTTCTCATGAAAAGACCACAGGACGGTAGAAGAAAAGTTGCAAGGAAAACAAGAGTGAGACGAGAAGTTTTAACTTTATTCAGGGAGGGAATGTCTTTACCCATAGAGAAAATTGCCTCTCTCTGATAATCAAATTCGTACAAACTGCTCTTAGATTACCATTAGCCTTTATAAACTTCACCTTTTTCAGTTTGAAATTCATCATTTTCTTTTTCAAATGAAAGTAAAAGACCTTTGGGCAGAGTCTTTGACTTTCCATTCGATTGCTAATAAGTGGGTTACTTAACTTTCTAGGTACATTATAATCAAAGTTGATGGTAACAAGCAAAAGTGACGGAAAAGGAGTTTGGATTTAGACAAAGAAATAACTGAAACAAACTATAAAAAAACAGGTGAGAGCAAAGTGTCACATTAAAGAAAGACTGACATATTAAAAAAATTTAAAAGGCCAGTAAAAGAAGCTCAGCATCAAAGAAAGATAATTAGAAAAAAAAAGAATAAATAAAATTAGTGTTAACAGAAAACTAGTAAAGAATCTAACTGTTCTAAGATACAAATATGACCTAGCATTTCTATAAGGAGTTAACATAAATTTTCTTCAATGCTCTTAGGGTTCACAATATCTGTTTAACATAATGACAATTTCATCACATTTAGTTAACCAATAGTCCACTAGCTTATCAATACCTGACACACTTTTTCACATTTTTTTTTTTTTAATCCTCAACTTAGGACATTTTGCACTGCTTTTACAAAGAGAGGAAGGTAGAAGGGAGGGGAGAGAGAAACATCAGTGCCAGAGAGAAGCACTGATTGGTTGCTTCCCATACATGCCCCAGCCAGGGATCAAACCTGCAACCAAGTTATGTGCCCTAACTGGGAATCAAACCCACAACCTTTCCATTACAGGATGACATCTCAACCCCCTAAGCCACACCAGCCAGGGCCTGCTCTTCACTTTCTAATAGAGAAAAAAAAATATGAAAAATGCTTCTGTCTCCTCTGCTTTATATTTTGAAGACAAGTGGCAGAATATATTTCTATTTGTGGACTTAGATCTATATGGATTCAAATCACACCTTTACTACTTATCAGCTGTGTGATCTTGTTTACATTAATTAACTTCGCTAGGTATTTGTTTCCTCATAGGTAAAATGGAGATGTTTAAAATATTATCTGCCTTATATTTCTCCCGGGGTTGTTTTGAGAAATAAATAGACATAATTCAGGTTAACTAGCACGTAACAAATCTTATTTTCCCAGCCATTATTGTTATTATCATTATGCTACCTGTCCAAGTCAGATTCCAGTGATAATTTGTTAATTGCAACTCTTATCTTTTACTTGCAATAAAAGAAAAAATTGAGGGACTTTAACCCAGGCAACAACCTTCATAGTCCATCACATCTCTAAGTTACTATTCACATCACAATTGCCACCAAATCTTGAGCATTTACAAGGACGACTTTCTAGAAGCACTTTAACCCCTACAGAATTCAGTTTAAGCTCCTGAAATAATAATCTTACCTTGTTAAATCATTTGAAATATACTTGTAAATTGAGTGAAAGGTATCCCCATTGAAGGTGCCTTCAGAGTTGCTTTGCTGTGATACATTTATGGCTTTAGTTAAGGGTATTAAGGAAGACCGAAAAGGTACTGCTCTGTGATCTTCTGTTTCTATTTTTGACATTTTCAGCTATGAATAAGGAAGAATGTTATTCAATTTAAAATGTAATATCCTCCTGGGTTATAAATTAAGACTGAGCATTAATCACAATCTACTTCTCATCATGTTCCAGACTATGCAGCAGTTGCTAAATGTGAAATCTCATTAGAAATGAACAGAGATGAGAGCCTGAAGGAAGAAAGAATTACAGATCTAGGTCAATGCTTCTTAAGAAAGCAAAAACGATAATTGGTTGCAAAGAATTTTAATTTTTGTCGTTTGATAGAAAATCACTTATCACACAAACAAACTCAACATGAGGAATATGTTATTGAAGAGTGCAGCACAATGCTTTGTTTTCGTCTGTCCCTCATCCCTTTCTTTTTGGAAGCTACCTTCCTCCTGATTCTAATGGGACTGTAAATTATGTGGCTTTGCTTTCCAAGCAGGGAAGTGAATGGGTCCAAGGCTAGCCAATCAAAGTTCCTTCCCAAGACATGGCAATTACGACATCAGAGTCCCCATAAAATAAAGTAGTCCGCCCTTCTCTGGGATCGCTAGCTCTAAGAACAATGTATGTGGCCAAAACAGATGAAGGCAAAAGAGAGATGAAGAGAGATTTTAAAAGTGAGAGATTATTGATGACAATATTTGAATCCCTGATACCAGCGTTTAAAAACAACTACATCTCACTTCTGGCCAAGACAGAAGTGTAGGTAAACACCCTTCACCTCCACACACAACTACCGTGAAAATTACAACTAGATTACAAAACAGATTTCACCCACATTCATCAGAAAATTGAGCTGTATGGAAGTCTGACAACTAAGGATTTAAAGAAGCCACCTTCATCCACACAGGTAGGAGGGGCAGAGTCGGGAGAGCCCAGAGAAGTGGTAGAATGGGCAGTCCCCACATGCACATGTGGTGGATAAAAACTGGGAGGGTTACCTTGGGAGCAAGCAATACCAGTCCAAGACCAGACCACCCAGCCCAGGGTTCCAGTACTAGGAAGATAAGTCCCCATAACTTCTGGCTACAAAAATCAGTGGGGGTTGGGGCAGCTGAAGAAAGTGTGGGGTTCTCAAGAGACTCCTGTTAAAGGGCCTGAAACAGACTAAGGACTCATGCAGACCCACCCTCTGTGGGATTCAGCACCAGGGCATCAGCGGGAAGGATACAAATGGCATATGTGGAGAAGGGGAGAAAATGAAGTCAGTAGCCAAGGGGCGAGTGCTGGGGAGACAGCTTCTTCTCTGGCAATCTCCAGAGGCCAGGCAGCAGCACTGTCCTGCGCCTGAGCCCTCCCCCATACAGAGCCACAGAGCAGTAAAACAGGTTACCCTGCCTTAGCTACTACCTAAGGCCCTGCCCTACACAATTTACTGGTGCCTTTTCTACAACAGGGCACACTGCTGAGACAGGGAGTCAAAGCAGCTCTATCTAACATACAAAAACAAACACAGGGAGACTGCCAAAAAGAGGAGACAAAGAAACAGGGCCCATAGGAGAGAACAGAACAAAACTCCAGGAAAAGAACTAAATGAAATGGGGATAAGCAACCTATCAGATGTAGAGATCAAAACACTGGTAATCAGGATGTTCAAAGATATCATTGGGTACTCCAACAGCATAAAAAACACCCAGGCAGAAATGAAGGTTGTATTAAGTGAAATAAAGAAAAATCCACAGGAAACCAACAGTGGAGGGAACGAAGCCAAGATTCAAATCAATGACAGAACATAAAGAAGAAAAAAGTATTCAGTCAGAATAGCAAGAAGAAAAAATAATTCAAAAAAATGAGACTAGATTAAGGACCCTCTGGGACATTTCCAAACATACCAACATCTGGATCATAGGGGTGCCCGAAGAAGAAGAGGAAGAACAAGAAATTGATACTATTTGAAAAATTAATGAAGAAAACTTTCCTAATTTGGCAAAGGAAATAGACATACAAGTCCAGGAAACAAAGAGTCCCAAACAAGTCGGACCCAAAGAGGACCACACCAAGACACATCATAATTAAAATGCCAAAGGTTAAAGATAAAGAGAGAATCTTAAAAACAGCAAAAGAAAAGCAGAGAGTTACGTACAAAGGAGTTCCATTAAGACTGTCAGCTGATTTCTCAAAAGACTTTGCAGGTTAGAAGGGACTGGCAAGAGGTATTCAAAGTGATGAAAACAAGGACCTACAACCTAGGTTACTCTATCCAGCAAAGCTGTCATTTAGAATGGCAGGGCAGATAAAGTGCTTCCCAGACAAGGTAAAGCTAAAGGAGTTCATCATCACCAAGCCATTATTACATGAAATGTTAAGGAAACTATGTAAGAAAAAGAAGAACAAAACTATGAACATCAAAAGGGCAACAAATTTACAACTATCAACAACTGAATCTAAAAAACAAACTAAGCAAACAAGCAGAACAGGAACAGAATCATAGATATGGAGATCATTGGAGAGCTATCAGCTGGGAGGGGGAAGGGGGAGAATGGGGGAAAGGTGCAGAGATTAAGAAGCATAACTGGTAGGTAGAAAATAGACAGGGGGATGTTAAGAACAGTATAGGAAATGGAATAGTCAAGGAATTTAAATGCATGACCCACGGACAGGAACTAAGTGGGAGTGGGGGCTGCTGGAGGGAGGGACGTACCAGGCACAGTGGGGGGAAGGGGGAAAAATCGGGACAACCGTAATAGCATATTAATAAAATATATTTTAAAAGAAAAAACCACATCTCAAACTTGGGTATGTGAGCCAACAGATTATTTTTTTTTTCGGTTTGTTTGTTTGCTTATGCTAGAAGCTGGCATTCTCTTATTTTCAATGCAGAAATCTTAGGTAACACAAACAACCTAAAATTTCTTAAGACTAAAACAATATGCCCATTAGAAATAATATCAAAGACTGTTACAGGTTCCTTTCTAGGGTGTAATCACCCACTCATAATGCTGATAAAAATGGCTATAACGTCTCATCTCTAGTGTCCCAAGGTAACATGACATACCACTACTAAGGGAAGGCTACAACTTCTAAGGTAATAAAAAAATACTTCTAACCTTTTACTGCTATTCTGAAATAAAAGCATTCATTCATCCACAGATTTATGAACACCTATAATGTATTTAGCATTGTTCAGGCACTAAGTGAACAAAGCAGGAAAAAACCATGCCCTTTTGAAACTTATTGTACATTCCACTGGGGACAGATGATAAATAATACATGTAAGAAATAAGTAAACTGTTAAGATATTAGATGATAAATGCTATGGAAAAAATTAAAGAAGGTAGACCTTAAATGATGAAGGAAGGCATTGCAATTTTAAATAGGTTTGTGAGCATAGGCCTCACTGTGGTGGTTATATCTGGGCCAAGACTTACAAGAGGCAAGGGAGTTAGCCATATGATATCCACAAGTGAGAATAGTGAGAAGGCCCTGAGGAGGGGCATACCCTGTAGGTGTGAGGAATGGCAGAAATAGACAGCTAGGGGAGTAAGAGGGAATGTAGTCGGGATAAGGATAGAAAGGCAAAGGAGGGGGTGGAGATAACAGCAGGCCTTGTAGGACACTGTGAGGACTCGGAGTGAATTGGAGAGCCCATGGAATGTCTGGAGCAGGAGAGTGATATGATTTTTTTTTTAGATAATATTGGCTGCTTTGTTAAAAATACATGAAACATACAAAAATAACTGCATTTGAATGTCCTAATTTGCCCATTTATTATTCTCTTCTAATACTTGCATAAATTCTATATGGTAAGAGACTTTCACTTGTCTGCCAATATCCATCTCTTCCTTCCTCTAGGATACTGGGATCCCTGACTTTTAACTGAGACATGTGGCTACCCAAAATAAAGACTATATTCTGGTCTTCCTTGTAGCTAAGGTAGGGTCATATGAACAAGTCTGGCCAATGAAATAGTCCTGGTCATGATCCACACAAGTAAGTTTTTTTTCTTTTTCCTCCTTTCTGCTACCTAGAATGAAGACAAGAAAGCTGGCTCTAGATTGGCCATCTTTAACTTTGACATGATGCCAGGAATGAAAGCCGTGACTCAGGGGGGATAGGAGGAGTCTGAATCTCCGACAACACTGAGTACCGTATGAACCCTGGAATACCCACCTCCAGGCTTTTACATGAGACATAAACTTGTAGTTTGTTCAAAACAACGTTAATTTGGATCTTTATTGTGTGCAGTCACACCTAATCCAGAAACACCTGATATCCCTTGAATTAAGTCACTTTCAAGAATCTAAAATATATGATATTGGCGTAGAGCAAGGAAATAGGATGAACAGTAGGATTGTTAGGAATCTAAATTTAACAGAGCCTGGTAATCTGGGGCTTTAGGCCTTTGGACTCATCAAGCTTCCACAATCACTTAGCCAATACCATAAAGTAAACCAGTTGATTTCATCTGTGTGTGTGTGTGTGTGTGTGTATTCTCTTGGTTCTGTTTCTGTCATATTCTGTTGGTTCTCTGGAACTCTAGTACTTCTCTTTCAAAGATCATGTCAGCCTACCAGGCAGAGCTAAGAACTGGAGCCAGGAAGATTTTCCTCAAGATGATGGATGCAATGGGGTCATCGGTGGTGGTGCGGGTCAGCAAGAAGCTATAGCAACCACAGCAACACTAACACCACCAGCAGCACCTACAGACAACTTCCACCACCAGGGCTCTTCCTCATTTGGGGGAGGGAATCTGGAGGATTTCTCTTTTGAACTGTGATTAATTCCTAAGGTTCTTAGGTAATCTACAGTACACAGGAAACTCAAAAAGTATGATGCCAGGCTTGCTGTTAAAGAACTATAATATAATTGATACTCACAAGTATAATGGAGGAATACATACCTATAACATAAGAAAAAAAATCAGGTCTTTCTTTGCCACTTTTTAGCTATTTAACCTTGGATATTATTAACCTTTCAGAGCTTCAGTTGGTTCATTTGCAAAACTGAGTTATCAACATGGTTATGAGGATTAAATAAAATGGTGAATGTCAAAGAGCTTGGTACATGGTAGATACTCAAAAAATGTTAGATGAATTTGAATCTATATCAAAATAAGAGAAGTTA